ATTATTTATTTTTAAATAAAATATTTTATTGGATTTTTGAATTTTAAAAAGTATAAAATAATTTTATTAAATTTAATAAATATAAAAGTTTTAAGTATAAATTAATTTCTTTATTGATTAAAAAATTTTAATTAAAAAAAATTACTAAGAGATTTTATTTACTTACAATAAAACATTCTTATTGTTATCTTCAATTTCATCTTTAACTTCATTATCTTTCTTAAATTCTTCATTATTATTGACTTCTTCTTTTAATTCTTCTTTATTATCATTCTTCTTAATTTCCTCTTGTTTCTTTTTTAGTAATTCCTTTTCTTCTTCTGCTTTCTTCTTTCTAATTTCTTCAAATAAATCTCTTACAATAACTAAAGAATCTTTTAAATTAAAATCAATCAAATCTTCATCTTTAAAATTAAATAGTAATTTTAACATTCCAATAAAATTATCAATAACATCATCATCATTTAAATCAAATTTCTTACAAGCATTTTTATCAATATTTTTAAACTCACCTTTAATAGATTCAACAACAACATGTGCTAATCTAAAATTATCTTCTGATTCAACAACTTCAGGAAACTTAATTTTACCTTTAACAATTTCATTTATACTTTTCTTAATAAAATCAACATCAGTTTTATACTTTTTAATTGATTGAATTAAATTTTTTTCTTCAATAATCATTATTTTAAACTTCATTGATTCCTTTTTAATATCTTCAACTTTCTCTATATTCCCCTCCGCTATTAAGTCTTTAACATTTTTACAATAATCTTCAAATTTACCAGGTGTAATATTTTCTAATTCACTAAGACCTTTTTTAAGTTGATTTAAATGAAAACCATATTGATAATATTTGCTTTGGATATCATTATTAATTTTCTTAATCTCATCATATTTTTTATTGAATTCATAACTAGAATCAAAGACTTTCTTTAAAATTCTTTTATCTAAAATATCCTCTCTATTCTTTTCTAATAATTCTTTAAATTCATCCAAACTATTCTTTTTACTAAAATATTTAAAATCACTATCTTTAAATTTTAATAGTTTTGATCTCGCTTTCTCAATTATAAACTTTTTTGATTTAAAATCAATTATTGATTTACAAATGTCAACTTCTTTACAAATTTTTTCATCTTTAACATCAAATTTACTAATGAAGGTATTTCCCCAACAGATCTCACCAATGTCAATATTAGAAACTTTATAATTTTTACTACTAATATAATCACTAATTATAAAAGTATCCCTTCCATCTACCATACTGTTGATATCAACACTATTAATAACATTAATTATCGTTTTTAAATCCAATTTAAGTTCTGATATAGCTGCAACTTTACTAATTTCAATCTCATCATTCTTATTTTTATTCAGTTTAAATAACTCAATATAACCGTGTGTATATTCTGTATTTCCTTGACCAATTTTTAACAACACATTGTCTTTAATCTCTTTAATATCAGTAAACTTATAACCATATTCAAGTTTATCATAAGGAATACATTTAATAGAACTATTAGTCTTTTTTAATGATTTAATAATCAAATCAGTAATAAGCTTATCAATTAATGCATCATTAACTTCAGAAACAATCTCAATTCTTTTAACCAATTCTAACTTTTTATTATCTAAATTAAATTCACTCTTAATAACCTTCTCACCTCTAAAATTAAGAATACAAAATTCTTTAAGTGATAGACTATTACTTTTAAATATAGCAGCTGATGTGCTTTCTGGAACAACCATTGCATTCAAATTATCAAATGATCCGACTATTTTCTTATATATCTCATCATCATAATAATCTCTCACACTCACAATTACATTATTAACTCTATCAATTGTACCACTTTCAAAAAGTTTATCAAAATAACTATTTAATAATAAATAGGGTGTTATTTTAGTTCCATAATAAAACAGATCATCATTTTTAAAGTTATTAACATAATTAGTAACATCATTAATTCTATCATTAATTCCATCATCATAAAACATTCTATTTATATCAACTGTAAATAGATTGTGTTTTTTATTTAATTTATTATTAGATAAATCAATTAACGTATTTTTAATATCAGCTCTCTTGTTCTTTATATCTCTACCTCCCTGTATACATATTAAATTATTTGATAATTCTATAGATAAAACATTGCTTAATATTACTTTTAATAAATATATTAACATTCTCTTTTTTGAGGGTTAAAATCATCAATTTTTTAATAAATGTAATTTTTAATAGAGTTAGTTAGTTTTTATTTAAATTTTTTTATAATTAAATTTTCAATGACAAATATAAGTTTATCTACCCAAACTGTGTTAATATCAACAACTGGATTATCAACTGAAGAAGTAGAATTGTATGATGAAAATTATAAAATTGATAAAAAACTTACACCACAAACTGCATATCTTGTTAGTTATAAAGCTATTTTTACTGAAAAATATATTCAGGCTCTTAAATGGAACATTCCAATTGTAAGAATTGATTATTTTAATAACAGTGTAGTGCCTATTAAAAAGTTTGAATCTGTTTTATTTACAACAAGTGGTATTAATAATCATATCTACTCAAATTATATAATTGCAAATGGTGGAATTTATCAACCTAATTGTTCTATTTATATAGACTTTTTAATCTGTGATGATTCCAATCTAGAAAAGTATAAATTCTGTAAGAAATATAACATACCCATAATTAATACCGCTGATATATTTTCTGATAATTATAAATTATTTAGTTCAAAATTAAAGTATGACGCTAAAGAAATCAATAAAAAGTCTAAATTTTTTGATTTAGTGTTCTATATTGATGATAAATTACCAAAAAGTGTTTATAATCGATTAAAAAGATTGATAGTTGAAAATGACGGTACTAGATTTCCTACAATTTCAGATTCTGTAGATTTTATTTTAACTACTTATTCCTTAAGCAGTAAGTATGAAGATAGTTCTAAACTTCTTTATTATCAATATGTATTTGACTGTATAGAAAGCAATTCTTTACTTTATGAAAACTTTTATAGAATTTATAAATATGAAGAGTATAATTTCTTTAAAAATTATACTTTTTATGTTTCTACTGATTTTGATAATAAAACAAAAATTGAATTATTTAATAAAATTAAGGCTTTAAATGGTAGAATTTCCAGTGAAATTAGTTTCAAAGTAACTCACTATATAAGTAATGATACTGAAATTAATATTAAAAATTTACATTCAAATTGTAATATAGTTGGTTTTGAGTGGATCAATGAGTGCTTAAATTATTTAAAGTTGGTACATATAGGCAGATTTACAGTTTCTAGAAGTTTAAAAAGAATCAAATCAGTAACACAATGTGATAAGGAATATCTCTTTCAATTTACAGGCTGTACTAATGATCAAATCAAAGAAATTATTAGTGAATTTAATAGATTAAAAATTAAATATATTATTAGTGATAAATTTGAGAAGAGTACACATTTAATAATGGGTGAGATTAATACAAGTGAAAAATTATTTTGTTCAATAGTAAACGGATGTTGGATAATCAAACCTGAATTTATAAGTGAGTTTGGTAAATTTATTAGTGATAAAGATTCATTAAATAAGGTTTTTGAAAAATATGAATGGAAAGTTGAAGATAAAGAAAACAATTCTAAATTAACAAAAATTATAAAATCTATAAAAACCTGGAGACAAAGAATACAAAGTGGTGGTAAAAAACCTTATTATAACTGGAAAATCAAATTATACTGTAATAAAGATAAATATGATGGATATAAAAAGTTAATTGAAAGTGGTGGAGGTACCCTCACATCTGAAAAAGATTATACACACGTATTTGTTGATAAAAATTATAAAGAACAAATATCGGAAAGTAAAAATTATTCAATTGATTATTTATTTCTATATTTATTTAAATAAAATTTTTTATAAAATTTATACTTTTTAATATTTTTATCGAAAAAGAAGTAAATTATATTAATATCTTCAATAAAAATTAGTTTTATAAGAAATTCAACAAGGTAATTATACAGTATTGAGCAAAAAAGTAAGACCACTTAAAAAATCATTCACAAAACCACACATATTTCACAATTAAAAAATTTTTCTTTCACAGTATACATTAATTTAAAATTATAGAAAGAAATTTTAAAATAATTTATACTCTTGTGTTTTTTATGTAAGTATAGAAAATTTTTTTAAAAAAATATGTGCAAAAAAATAAGACAACAATAAATTTAATACTTGGTATTATTACATTTTACTTTAAAAAT